CCTAACCCTAACCCTAACCCTAACCTAACCCTAACCCCTAACCCTAACCCTAACCCTAACCTAACCCTAACCTAACCCTAACCCTAACCCTAACCCTAACCCTAACCCTAACCCTAACCCTAACCCTAACCTAACCCTAACCCTAACCCTAACCCTAACCCTAACCCTAACCCTAACCCTAACCCTAACCTAACCCTAACCCTAACCCTAACCCTAACCCTAACCCTAACCTAACCCTAACCCTAACCCTAACCCTAACCCTAACCTAACCCTAACCTAACCCTAACCCTAACCCTAACCCTAACCTAACCCTAACCCTAACCCTAACCCTAACCCTAACCCTAACCCCTAACCCTAACCTAACCCTAACCCTAACCTAACCCTAACCCTAACCTAACCCTAACCCTAACCCTAACCCTAACAACCTGATGAAGCCTCAAGTAGAGGCGAAATATTGTTGTAATATGTTTTAAAGTTTAAAATAAAAAGTTGATGAAAAAGAAAAAATTTAATTGTTATTGAATAAGACTAAGAGTTTGACAGAGCACTGAAGCACCAAGGAGCTCAGACATAGAGAACTCCTACCTATTGGAAAATTGGTAGAACCCTGGAACACCAACTAACCAGTTCCCAAAACCTGACTAAGACTGGGAGCCCAGATCTATAATCCTGACCAAGGAGAACCCCTACCTAACATTGAGTAAAAGTTAGGTATTACACTGGAACACTAGCTAACCAGTTCCCAAAAACATTACCAGAGTTGTGTGAGTGGCCTAACCCATAACCCTTACCAAACCCTAACCCTGCTTTAATGGTACTGCAACTTCGCATCGATGCCCAGTCAATCAACATTTTAAGATCACCTACATAGATTTTCAATATTTTGTCTGCGTTCAACCAAATCTATCCGATTGTTCACCAGCAAAGAACCCTGAGCCACAAACTGAAAGTTTCCCTGAGCAAAATGCAGATACCACTGTTGCCGAATGTCGGCCGAACCTGAATTCTACTGTTCCAAGTGCATCGGACAACAGCTTTTATTATAATTGCGTAAATGGACAAGGTTGGCGGCAAGTTTGTCCTCCAGGAACACAATTTAATCCTTCTCTGAGTTTGGAAAATAGTAAGAGTGTAATTTGTAGTAAAATTCCTGATGGATCTGAATTGGTTCATGGAGAATGGAGTCAATGGACCAGCTGGAGTAATTGCGCTGCTCCTTGCGGTAATGGAGTTGAAGGAAGGGAACCAACTTGTAGCAGTCCACCACCAGCGAATGGAGGTAAAAATTGCAGGGGAAAGTCTCTGGAAGAAAGACCCTGCAATAACGGTCCTTGCGCAGAGCTGGCCTTTATGGTTTCGTTAAAACGTACTGTGAACGTTAATCCGGGAGTAATGAATTGAACGTCGATTGATTTGAATGTAAACAAAATGTTCGACCCTGAAACAAATCGTGTTTCCATTAAGAAACCAGGATTGTAATTTTTCTCTATGACGACAAGCTCTCCCGCAAAAAAGTCAATTGATGTAATACTAGAAAGCACAGGTAGAAATGTTGGACTAGTTCGGCGAGCCGACGCGAAGTTGACAGGAGCGGAAACATTTTCCAGATCTGGACTGTTCGTTCTTAGCCGATTATTCAAACCGGTTTTGAAACAATTGATTCGGTCGACGCTGTACAGTTCAGAGATTGGTAAAGAAACATCTTGGCTGGGTTTCCACTACGTATCAGATGAATATCTATTTTGCGGAAGTGACAAAAATCTAGAGTTTGGAACAGTCAAATGGCATATCGTTTCGGCGCTGAAAGGATTTCAAGAAAATAGCTTATTGTCGCAATTTAGAGCCTCAAAAAGCGGCTTATATCTCGTGAATGCATGAATGAAAATAGGCTATACCCACGTAAACACTCGATACAAAGTGAGTTTATCAATCAATGTGGATAGGAATTACAATGTTTTTCAAACACTGCTCGAGCTGAAGGGAGCAATTACATCTCACGGTTTAAGCGATACATTTTCGAGGAGTGTTCTTGTGCGATTGACAGCAGGGGATGTGTTGAGAGCAGAAACGCATAGGCCTTTTCTTCCTATGCGTCCAATCGAATCGGGACAACGAATAGACACTTATATGTCTGCATTTAGATTAAATGAAATTCTACCCTACTTTCAAGCAGTATCAACGGACAGCAAGTGTAGAGAGTTTAGACGTATCAATTTGAAATCGACTTCCTACGATTCGGAGAGATCGTGGAATTCGAAATTACACGAGTATAACGTCAAAAAGCCTGGAATCTATTACATAGAATTTACATTTTCGAAATATCATACTTCGAAGGTGGATGTAAGAATGTTCTTGAACAAACAAATGGTTGCAGTTTCAGCAAAACAAAGTATGATTGACGAGAACAATCATTTCACACGATCTGTTTTGATGAATTTGAAAGTGAATGATAAAATTCATTGGGAAAACTATGGATGCGTTGACAGTGACGCTTCCGTTACGATAATCTGTACTAGTGCAGTATCTCGAAATTAAGTTTCAAAACATGAACGTGTTTAGTTAAATAACCAACATTTCAACTTTAGTTCAAAGTTGATATTTTCCTTTTTGTTCATTTCCAATACAATAACAATGATGATGACAATTGCAGATCAACTGTTTAGTATGTATAGTGTATTTGATATTAAATCGGATAGTAGTCAATCATTTCAGGTAGAGGAAAAGTACAAGCATACAAACTTTGAATAGTGCAAACTGTAGAAAGACATTTTCACAGGATTTTCCATGTCGGTATTAGTTGTTTTTCTTCTTTTTCCCAAGAAAAAATCTACTTGGAAAAGATTTTCAGGTGAAAAAGCGATAATATTATCATTTTTACGAGGATGTTGACTTAAATACTCTGAAATACTTTCAACAAGATACAAGACAAATGACAAAAAGAAAAAAGTAAAATTGCCTGCTTCACTCGTAAGTTTGCCAAGCTCTAAGCTTTTGATTTCCAATTTGGCAATTGGTAACGACTAGAAGGTCACTAGTACTTTTTCATCATTGAAAAAGTATATTCTTTGAAGATTAATATTATAAAGTATTGATTGATTGATTGAATGAATGAATGAATGAATATATGTTGATATCATACCTTCAATAAATTGAAACGATACATAAGCTGGATTTGTCAATCCTAATTGCACTTTGTATCCAATTTCAATATCTTCTTTTGATAAGTTTACTAGAATAGCTGATTCTCTGCTGTCTGACAGAGTATAGGCTATTGAGTGAGGTGTTTCCCTCTCGACTACAGTGGCAGGAGCTGACATTTCAGATGGAATTATTATCTTAAATATGTCAGTATTTACAGTATATACCAAAGTAGGATGGAAAGTAGATAGCGAAAAAGAGCAAGTTTGTCATGTCTTTCTGCCAGAGAGAGAGAGAGAGAGAGAGAGAGAGAGAAAAGCGCTCAAAACAAAAATCTCCAGAATCATGATAATAACCTTTTTATTTTCCATCAACTACTTGATTTGAAAATCTTTCTATGGCTTTTATTAATCAATTTTATTCATATTTTCATCAAGATTTTCTACTAATTAATTTTATAGATTTCCTACTAGACAGAATGTCTAGCGATTCAACAAAAACCACCATAAAATGCTAAAATTTCAATTAAATAGACTTCAATTCTCCGCCTTTTATTTTGTAATGAAATTTTAGCATTTTTATATCAATATGCTACTTCTTTTTGGTCGATTTTCCATAAATTCTTGAATGGATTTATTAAAGAAACTCGATAATCACCATCAGCTGTTGATTGATTGAACATTGATTCAAGGAGATACGATGGTAAAACTTTCCAGTTTTAGGCTATAGGAAATATTATTTGCGGTAGAAGAAAAACTAGCGTTTATCTTATATAGGAAGAGAACGAAGTATAAATCAGTAAGCGATTAATTAACAAAGACAAATAGTCTATAATGTTTTTTATTTCTTTTTATTTGAAAACCGGTTCAAACAGAGAATTCAACTAAGAACAAGAATAAGGAAATTAATGGAAGAAAATTAATCTTTCTCCCAAATTAAAAACAGCTGTTTTTCTCGACAAAACAGTATAAAAACGTGACAAGCAAACATGTAATAAAGGACATTTTGAGACAGATTTTTGTTTGAATATCTAAAAGAAAATGTAGAATGGTTATTCCGCCAAAAATGGAACAAGAGAAATTAATGATAAAGCTTGCAAACAGTGTATTTTACAAGATGAAACTAAAAAACACGAAACTGTACAAAGTGTAAAATTGCAAAAAAACATGTGCTATTTCGCCATAAGCCGTCGGCAACGGCAATAGAAATGACAATGATTGATAAACATGCCGACGGCAATAGTGAAAATGATGAAAATCGTAAGAAAACATTAAATATACAATATTTAATATAAACGTAATTGATATGCAAACGGCGTATTATGCATCTTTTTCTAATCAAAAAATACCTTTAAACAGCTAAACGCTTTCCGAATTAGTTAAGCTGTTATCAATCAAAACATAGCAGAACTTTAAAAAGAAATAATACTTCTGTTGCTTGGCTTTTCTCTGCTAAAAGAGAGAAGGGGAAGTTTTCTCCATCTTTTCCGAGATGCTTCCAACGAAAGAAACGGAAGAAAGTAAAAATCAACAAGAATTTCTGCAAAAATGACAAAATGACCGACTGACTGAATTTCTTTTAATCAAGGTGAGAACAATAAAATTAGTGTTTTGCTGAATAGTTCACTTTTTTCTACATTTCTTGTTTGTATTGTTTGTCAATTTTGTTGAGCAAATAGTTCAGTCTTTTTTCTACCAGTTTGGTTTTTTAAAGTTTTTGCTAGGTATGACGTCTGTCTCGACGAGTATGGCGACAATTAGAAAGACGATATAGAGCACCAGTAGATAGGCTCCGTAAATTTTGTTTGCCTTAAATTTTCGCACAGGTAAAAAGATTAGGGAGGAGACTAAACTTGCCAAAAGAAATCCACAAAGAACCACCTGTGGAGCTTTCAATACCAACGGTTTCGAGTTTTCTTTATCCTTAATCATATTAATTAAAAGTGGAATGGCAAAACCTAAAGATAAATCTGAAAAAGAGGAAATTGTTTCCAGTTAGTTAATGGGAGGGTTAGAAAGGAAAATCGACGTAATACTTACTGAAGAATGGTGCCCCAAAACAAGCTGAAAAGCCCATACGGGCAAATCCCTGTCTGGCCATTATAGTATTGGCAATCCAATCCCCCACGCTATTACCCCATGCAAGTAGGGTTAATCCTAATATGGCATTGCTTATATTTAATACAATTCCGAACGTCTGTCGGAAGACGAAGAAGGAGGATTAGATAATCTTACAGTTGGTTCGATTATGTTATCTTACCTCCAACAAATTGACAATTTCATTTGCAATAACGTAAATCCAAACGATCGACATAATAAATCCAAAATAGCCAAAAATCTAGGAAAAGATAACGAAAGAGAAAAGATGAAATGAAGGCAAAACAAGCAAACTGGTTCATGCTCCACTTACAAAATGATATTTTGGTTTTTCATAATTTTTTGATGTAAAAAATACTATGACGGCTAGTAAAAGCCCTATGGCTAGAGAGACTGCGTAGGAAGGTACCTTTCCTCCGATCTTTTCATTGTATTCTACATAGGGAAGAGGAGAGAGAGGAGAGGATCATAATTTAGAAGAGAAAATAATTTAAAAGAGCACTCTACTTACGCTGGATGAGTATGACAATAAACGTAGGAGCGCTGAACGTTTGAAAGACTTGCAAATATCTATTCCAGTTGTGAGTGTCTTCAATCTCGTAGTCAACGACAGGACTATTGCAGTTGATTAGGAGAACGATTGGGCTCTTGAAGATTTCGTAGACTTTGGCGTAGATCTTCATATCTGACCAATCATCAATATTGATTGGATTTAATCCGAGGAGGAAGAGTTTAAAGGGACTTGGCGGTTCACCAATCGATGACTCTGCGTCTTGGGTGTCTTCTCGTTGTTCGTCCTGTTCTTGAATAGTGGTATTGTCTAAAGCTTGGTGGTTATTCGAGGTATTAGTGGTAGCCCCATTGCTTGGCATATAAGAAATCTTTCTGTGCCTGTCGTCTCCCGTATTTGGAAAGAGTTCATAATCTAAAACGATTAGAAGGTGTAAGCAGAGACAAGGAAAAAAAAGGAAAGAAACAAAGAGAGAGAGAGAAGAATTAAGAAATTTGTTTTTTTATCTAACCATTTGTTGGAGTCTCTAAGTCGTTTTCGTATGCTAAATTGGTGTAATCCTGTTCGCGAGAAGCGGATGCTAAGTTGTCGGCGAAACTTTCATTCCTTTGAAATTTATCGTCAGTCGTACTTAGTTTGTAGCTTTTAATTTCAACTCCAGTTGTCTTTACTCCTTTTTTCGATTGTTTCTTATATATAGCTCCAGACACGATAACTGTAATAACGTAGAAAACATATAGGCAAATAAATCCTATAGCTTCGCCCATGTACACTTTTTCTTTCCACAAAATGAAAAAAGTCCAATAGACGAGCCCGATGTAAAAGATGACATCTCTGAGGAAAGGACGTTCGGTAGCCTTAAAGGCTTTAATAACTGCAATTGTACCAACAACAACAGTCGTAACAAACATTCCAGCACCGAGCAGACCGCCAACTCCCAAACCGGAATCTCCACCCTTCATATTGCCAAAGGAGGCGATAGCGGAAAATAAATCAGGAGCTCCGTTACCAAAAGCTAAAAAGGTTACACCGTAAGAGAAGCGAGTTAAGGAAAAAAAAGGTTGGTGAGAGAGAAAAAGGGAAGGAAGGATTGGAAACGGGGCAGTTCTCCAACGGGCAATAAAATGTCGTGTCCTTCCTTCCTTCCTTCCTTCCTTCTTTCTTCTTTCTTTCTTTGCTTTCGACTTATCAAAAAAAAAATATACATATCTATCTTTTTGAGTAGATATAAAGTTAAAGTTATCGAAAATTATCTTCCTAAAACTACTCCACAAATCAATAACCTACTTTGTTGGTCATTTAACGAACGGCAAAGTTAACCTTAAGTTCTTTTTTAGCTAGAATTTTTAGGCGTTCTCGCACAGTTCCTATCAGTGATTCGAGTTTTTAGTTAACTAGAGGCAAATAAAAAGGATATAGCAACGTTAGGGCTGAGTCTGAGCGTCTTTGAAATAACCACCAATGAAGGGCAAAAACTGTTGGGAGGAAAGGGAGTATTAAGCAATTAAAAGAGAAAGAATTGTGGGCGATGGGTCGCGAGAGGAAAGTATATAAAATGCTATGAATGATAAGACTAACTAATCGTCTGCAGTAACGGCCAAGCCAATAAAGCAGAACAGCCACCAAATAACGAGAATAACCATAGCCAGTGGTACAACTTTACCTAATTTACAATAAACGAAATCGTTGTAGTCAAAGAAACCGTCGTCATTCTCGCAATCTTCGGTTCTCTTAATAAAATTGCATTTAGCTTCCGTTGAATTTTCTTTTCGAACATCTCGGCACTGTTTAAAAGGGAGAAGGATTAGGAAGGATTAGAACAACACTAAGGAAGGAATTAACTATAAAAAATTGAATAAAAACAAAAAAAAACGGATTAACTAAAAAACAAAAATTTCAACAATTCCACGTATTAAAAAGAAATCATTTATCATTTTAGATTTTTTTTTGTTGTGTTCTAATAATTGGTCACGTGTCGAATACTTTAGAACTAGGGACCCGAGCCAAAGGCTATATTCTATATAGTATCCTATTTGAGTGTATATATATGATAAGTGTTATGCTTGACACTATTTACTGAGAAATAGAACTCGATTTTTCAGATAATGATTTCCCTCTGTCTTTCATTTCAGCTATGGTGCCATTCATGTCCCATTGGTTGGCAATTATTATTCGTCGTACTCTCTCCTGTTATCCGTATCATTTACAGTCATTTTCCTTTCCCTATTTGCCTATTGTTAGTATCGTTTAGAAATGAACTTCTTAATCTAGCTAGAGTTATGAATGGCTACGCATTCAGTATTGCGGAAAATCTGCGATCTTTCGCTCTCTTCTCTTGTTATTATTATTGACATTCAATGTTTTTATTATTAATAATATTATCGTTATCGTGACAATATATATGACATGAACCGAAGAAAATGTTATCTCTTCACTAATTGTCAAGGTACGCTAGTATTTTAAAAGTAGAGATTGCAATTTACAAGAATTGATTCATTGATGGAATGAAAAGGAAAACTTTTCATTCCCAGTACTCTTCTCCCTGAACGTCTTTGACGATTTTACATTCTTTTATTGTTATTTGCCAGTGTTAACGAATTATTGCCATTTGCATTGCCTCGGCATTTGGGTGAGGAAGAGTTTGAGAGGAAAGTTCTGAATGAAAAGAGAAGAAGAGCGAAAGGAAGATATAGATGTAAGATGGTAAAGATGATGAATAAGAAGAAAGAAAATCAATATTATCAGTAACAAAGTTAAAAATTTTATCTAATCGTTTGTAAATTTTTGATTAAGATAAAATTTTTGAAAAGATTGTATAAACTAACCTCAACATCGTCTTGGTCGGCTTGCTGCAACAAGTGCCTAAAAATTCCAGTTCTCGAAGATTTAAATGGAGAAGTGTGGACAAAAGCGGATGATTGAGTTTCAAAGCTCCTGACAAGAACAAATCCCAAAAGTATCAAGGCCAGCAAACCTCCCATTGCCGCCTTTATGGGCGTTTTAGGAGAGGATGCTCTTCCTCGTAGTGACGACATTTTGGAGAATTTCATTGTTGCAATTGGAAATATTTATGCAGAAAATTGAAAAAAAAACATATGCAGAAGTCGAGCATAAGACTTCTTTGTTGCATATGAATTAGATTGTCGTTTTATATATAATGATAACGTTTTGATTATCTGCAAAAGTATTTCAAATTCCGTAAGAAAGTGTAATGAAATCTTATCAGTCTTCTTTTGATAACAGTCGTTTAAGAAAATAAAATGCATTAAAAAAATTTATTTAGATCTATATTTTATTACTACTATCATTACTCTTTTTACACATTGCTCTCATTGTTTTCTCAGTATCTATATGCCCATCCATATAGCCCTCTTTTCTCACTATCTCTCTCTCTCTCTCTGTCTCTGTTTGTCTATTCTCCTATCTGCCTGTTTATCTCTCTTTTTCTCTCTCTCTCTCTCTCCCTCTCTCTTTCCCTCTCCCTCCCTCTCCATAACCCTTTCTCCCTTCCTCCCTCTCACTCAATAAACATTTTCCCTCATCTTCTGGCTAGTTTAACCATGTCCGTTTGGTATTGTTTCCTCCAACTGTTCTACTTTGTAAAATGTTCATTCAACAAGTCATTCATATAACGAACTTTCATATATCAAGTAATTGTGCTCGTTTTTTATCAAGACAATGGCCTTCGATAAAGTAACTTTGTAAAGTTGTTGATGATAAAGTCCTAAAGAGGGAGTTATAACCAAAGGAAGTATGAACAGATAAAACAATGACCCTTTAAAACCTGACAAGTACTCCTTAATTTATAAATAAAGTTTCAAAATAATTAGGAAGGAGACGAGTAAATGAATTACGATAATTATATTTTAAGTGAAAATTTACACAGATTCTGCCTTGTTGGGAAGACAGAAGATTATTCATATTTATACATTTAGCGCTATAAAATCAAAAGTGATTCAATAAGAGATAGATAGATAGATAGATAAAAGGGAAAAAAAAACAATGTGATCTTGCTTATTATGACTACAACATGAATCACAATTCACTTAAATCATTAGTAAGCATGACACAAAAAGAAACAAGACATGGACGATTTTTAAACAAGATATAAACAATAAATGATTAATAAACGTTTTTCAAAATGCTCGTTCAAGATTATGTTGCTTTTCCTTGGCTTTCTATCAGCAGATTGATGGTTGGTTAGGGTTTTATTGGACGTATTATTGATGAATTTATAAAAACAGATGTTTTGTTGTATGCTTAAGAGATGCGAGGGAGAGGGGGGGAGAAGAGTAGGGTGTAGAAAAATGGATAATGTGTAACTAACTCTCTTGATTAAATAGCTAAAAAAAGAAAACAAATATCTTGAAGCTAAATTTATTCAATTAAACAAACTCGTACACTTTCAGTGATTTAAACAAATTTCTTACGGGAAACGTGCAATATCTTTCTACTTTTGCCTTCTATCCCGCTCTTTTCTCCTTTTCATCCTGCCGATTACAAGGAACTGAAGGGAAAAGCTGTGATCGTCTGCTCCCTGAAAAAATTGTCAACAAGCAAAGAAGTAAGAATTGAAAATTGAACGAAAATTGAACACGTCAGCGGCAGGCAAGTCGGAGAATTATCACTTGTCAGACGATTTTTCGGTAAAGAACACGTTTGTAAAAATTACTAGCGGGATTCGACTGTAAACTCAAAAGGGACGGGCAATAGGCAGATGGGGAAGAGAGGTAGAGAATATCAGGTTGTTTTCGATTTTAGATTACCTAAAAGACGAGGTGAGACGAGGAAAGGAAGAGAATTTAATAGAGGATTAACTTTTCGGAAATTTTAAATTAATTTAAGATTAAATCTTTTGTACATCTTCTTTCGTATGTAGCCAGATAAACGAATAGAGAGAAGAAACGAGCAGGCGAGCGAAGGAAGGAGCAAACGAGATATAGAGGGAGAGGAGAGAGAGAAAAAGAAAGAGAGCAGAAAACTTTAAAAAGAATGTTACCAAACTTGAGTAAATTTAGAAAACTTCTTCTATTTGGTGTTCTTTTAGGTTGTTGTCTTGTCATCATTAGAAGACAGATCATTCGAGATAAAACACCTGCAGTCGTAAAATTCGCTGAGAAAGGTTCAAATAGGATAAAGCTTTCGTCTGAAGTTGATCAATTAAATATAGTTAGAGTAGAAAGAGACGAAAACACTAAAACCAGTAAATCATCTCCAATTCTAAATAGGGATGTCGGTATTGAAACTAAGGAAAATAGTGGGAGTGGAAATCGAATTGTTGAGCAGAGGGTTAGCGTTGATAGAGAAAATACGTTTGACGATTTAACAACTTCCGTTCATAAAACCGCAACAATTGAAAGACGTGAAAAATTTCAAGAATTTCAAGAACCGCAAACTACTGAATCAGTTGGTGAAGATTTTCACGTTAGGTCGACAATAGTCAATCCTCACGATTTTAAGTATGTTGTTAATAACGAGAATTTATGCCTAACTGACCCGAAACCTGTCTATATTGTCTACTGCATTACCGCACCCAAAAACTTTGCTAGACGACAAGTTATGAGAAATATTTGGTCTCAACCAAATGTCCTAGTGAAATATCCGTCGCGAATTATATTCGTCTTAGGCCTAGCTCCCGACCCTGACGTAAATAAAGCAATCAAGGAGGAAGGAGACAAGTTTGGCGATATCGTTCAAGAAGACTTTCACGACCATTACAAGAATTTGACGTTAAAAGGTGAGCATGAGTAATTTATTTAAATAGTTAGAGGATTAGAAATAGGTAGAGTGAAGAAACGAGGAGAGAAGATAGCTAAAGTATACAAGTATATAAGTAGGGGGAGCAGGAGTAGGAGCAGGAGCGGGAGAAGGAGAAGAATACGGTAATTTAAATAAACCGTATCTATTACTTTTTAAACAAAGATTTATTAAAAACAAAAGTGCATCTGTTCTTAAAGAAAAACAATGTCTAGTCTTTTCCTCTATCTTTTTTATAACTCTTCCAAAGTTCTATTTTCTGTTTGAATATATAAAAACAATAATCTCACAATGGAAAAGTACACGAGATGAGGAGGAGGACGAGAGAGAGAGAGAAAAAGAACAGGGGAGAAAAAGGTCAAGGTTTCTCCTGTTGAATTGCGTTTTAATATATTTAGTGTCTCTCTTTCTTTAAGTATATAATTAATCTTCTTTTTTTTCTACTATCTATATCAACAATAACAAGGGATTGCCGCCATCAAGTGGATCAAAACCTATTGTTCAGCTAGCAATTACGTTATCAAGACTGACGACGATATATTTGTAAACATCTTTCCGATAATTGACCTCTTGGAGGAGAATTACGATAAGACATCTCGCTTTATTATGTGCAATCAATTTATAGGAAGCGTCATTTTGCGCAATAGTTCGGGTTTGTGCGAAAATAAACAGAAATCGTGTATTTACGAAAAAGTTTTTCCCGGACGAACAACCTATCCCCGATATTGTTCGGGTGCTTCCTACTTCTATACAACTGACATACTTAGCGACCTTTACGAGACGTCTCTACGTACACCCTATTTCTCTGTAGAAGACGTCTATATGACGGGCCTACTCATCAGGTAATACGTGGCAACGAGCGGTTGTTCATACGTAGAGTAATTTTGCGATTTATTTATTTATTCTCGTCTTTCCCTTTGATAATTCAGGAACACTCCAAACATTAATTTCATTAGTATAAAACCAGTCTACCATTACCTTTATCTGCCCGAAAGATTTATACAGCATCTAATGAGAAGAGGGCGCACGCATCTCATCATGACGAAGGAGAATAATAACGAAATAGACCTGAAAGAAGTTTGGGCATTGGCACTTGCAAAATTGGAGAACAGTTACGCCGAAGAGAATTTAACGCCCCAATTAAAAAGGCAAAGGAAATTTGCAATGCGGAAGTTGAATATAAAGAAATTAAAAAGAAAAGTAAGGGAAATGTTTAGGAAGCGACTAGAAACGCATAAATTCTAATTCGATTATTAGAAATGTTGAATTAAGATAACAATAAACAAAATAATAATTTCATTTCATATTTCTTCTCTTTTCCTCTCTGATCATCTTTATTTGATATTTTTATTCTTAATCAATTATCATTTAACAAGTTGAAACATTTATATAAAAACGAATTTGCAAAGTGTAGACCATTTACTATTTCTTTGTATTTAAAAACGAATAGAAAATCTTTTTATCATTTTGCTAAGTCGGCTTCTCTTTTATTGTTCTGCCTTTCCTTTTCGTGTTATTCTTCTCCTGCTTCTTCTTCTCCTCCTCCTTCTCCGTAGTCTTCTCCACATTCTCCTTCTCCTTCTTATCTGCTTTCTCTGTTCAAGTTTCTGATCTTTCAATTGAGACGAATTGAAAAAAAAAAAAAAAAAAAAAAAAAAATCATGATCAATCATAATGATTTTCTCTCGTTTAAGAGATGAACTTGTTGATTATCATCTTTTGCTATTCTATCATATTAGTTGTCTCTCATGATGTATAATTCAACAGCTTCTGGTTCAGTTTCTTTTGGTTGGGATGGAACGCTTGTTGTATCGCGATATTTTTCGAGAAATGTTTTACCAGGACTTTTTATTAGCTTTATAGCGGCGACAATAGGAATTGGAAGTATAGAAGAGAGAGTGATAAACCATCCTATACAATCTCCCCATACTGGATAGGTATAATCTCCGTATTCCGCTCCTTGGGATGTCGCTAAATTGAATATAATTATAGCTATGATGACGACAGGAGAAATTCCTCCCCAGAAAACTCTCCAAACAACCGAAATTTCCTTTCCCAACATGGTACTGACATCCTTGCAAAAACGATTACTTCCGTAGATCCAATTGATGGCAACACATTCAGCGACCGTAGTGAAGAGGAGAGAAAAACTTGCCGCGTAGTGATCGAACAAGCTAAAGACGTACATACCTCCTTGGGTGACTTGAGGTAGGGCCAGAAGAAACATACACACTGCGACTATACAGGTGGCTGTAAATCTATATTTTCGAACGATACGAAGTTCGTCGCTCAGACCAGTCATAACCGTCTCCAAATTCACCATTAAACTTCCTATACCAAGCGTAAACAGCATAATAAAGAATAGAACACTCCACAATTGAGGTATCGGCATAAGTGACAAAGCCCTCGGGTAGACTATAAACGCCAATTCGGGCCCATTCTTGATAACCTCCTCCACTTTTGAATCGCTCTCCTCCGCCATAAAGCCAATTATGGAAAAGACGGCCAAACCGGCGTAGAGGGAGGTGAAGAACGATATAAAATTGATAAATATAGCATCTCTACGGCAATTATGCTTCTTCTTGTTGTAAGAAGCCATGGTAATCATTCCTCCCCATCCAATATTCGTACTATAGAAGAGTTGAGAAGCTGCTTTGAACCAAATGGAAGGCTCGGCTGAAAGAGAGAAGATAAGAGTGAGTTACGAAGGGAGGTCGAGAGAGAGAGAGAGAGAAAAGTTTTAGTATTCGTATTTTATTGTTTTATTTGCTTATTACAAGATATAAATTTCTACTATACCTAGTTTACTCCATTGCGGTGTTAAAAAATACATAATGCCATCTGTTGCTCCCGATAAAGTCACTCCTCTAGTTACCAATACGGTTAACATCAAGTAAGGAAATGTGGCGGTTACGTAGGCGACTTTTCCGGTTGATCGAATCCCTTTCGAAACGAAGAGGACAACAAGAATCCAAGAGGCGAGTAACGAAAGGCACAGAAATGGTCGAATTGATCCAAGATTTTCAATTGAATGATTCTCATCAATATTTAAAAGAGAGTGCTCCCAAAATTCTTCGGACGGGCTTGTTTTGTTTGTCTTTGTTACGAAGTAAACGAAATTGTTAGATTTCATCACTTTTTACAGTTTTTATAAGTTTTTTTTTATATTAAAATTTTAGCTCTCTTCCCAGACAATTCTTTAAATTACTCAAAAGAAGAAGAAGAAGAAGAAGAAGAAGAAGAAGAAGAAGAGAAAGAAGAAATGGCGACAAAAGTGATAAATAATGGTAGAAAAGTGAGGAAATCTAACATTTGTTGAATTCATTATAGCACTCGAATTAGTAGAATTAGCTAATGCTATGCAAAACTCTGTGTTCCAATGATTACCGCAGGATCCCCAAGGCAACTCGGGTCGGAAAGAGTTGACGAGATAGTAGATTGAGAGGGCGATAATCACATTGTAATATATGCATACAAACCCATTGATTATCATATAACAAAACCCAATACCTTTTGAAGAGTAACATTTATTTTAGGCAAAAGAATAAGAAGATGTATAGATTTGTGCTTTACGTTTTTTATGTTTTTTTTTTGTTTTTTAGTTTTAGAGGACAAAAGGTGCTGACCTTCAAATAGAGGGCAGGCTTTCTTGAATATCGTTAAAGCTCCTTTTCCAAAGAATTGGCCAAATCCATATTCCATAAATAGCATGGGGCATCCAATAACAATAATCATAACCGTGTACGGAATAAGAAATGCACCTGAAACGAGAATCATTGAGAAGGATGAAGGATGGCGAGGGGATGGAGGGGGGGGGAGAGGAGTAGGAGGAGCAGTCAATGGGGAAGGGGGGTAAGTGGAATACCAAAAACAATTCGTACTATTCGTAGAAGACAAACTATTCTAGGAAATGGATAAAAAACATTAAAAAAAGCAACATACTACGTAATAGATGAAAATAGCTGGCAAACATTGATAAAACGCGCATATTACACTATTATTGGCCTACGTGGTAAAAGTAAGAAGTGAGCGAATCGATAGACAGTTTAGTCGTTTGTCGACAAAATATTTAAGGAGAGAAAATAGAGAGAGAGAGAGAGAGAGAAAAGGAGTGAAAATATACTGTACAAAGCATATAAGCAGCGTGTGCTGCACGATCGACAGAGAGTATGAGGAATAGTGTATTTTTAGATATATTCTCTAAGAGAAGAGAAAGGAAAGAAGAAATTCTAAAAATATCAACGACATCATCGAGACTATAGAGCGAAGTATATAAACAAAGTTTTTGCTAATAAATTTCTATACACACATGTATAGAAAAATACATATGTTTATGTGTTCAACAAGCTATTGGCCTAAATACATATTCGCAGATATGAGTGGTGAACGCTTTGTATAATACGCACACGCATTATGTACACGTGTAGCACTTAAATAGATGTAGACTATGTATACATCTCAGCAAAAATGGGCTATTCACTATATATATACCATATATTTGCATATATTCAAATGCAAAATATCTAATAATACATACAAGTACTAATACTATATTTAAAATGCTAGAAAACAATACTCTAATAGAATTATAAAGATCTAGTTTTTGGGATGAATGAACGAATGAATGAATGAATGAATGAATGAATGAATGAATCATAAATGAGAGAGATTATAGGTTATTGCTGTCGTAGCTGTCGTGAAGACTAGTTAGTGGGATAAACGAAGAATAGAAAGATACAGAGAGCGAGACAGAGAGAGAGAGAGAGAGATGAAGAAGAAGGGGAAGGAGAAGGAAGAAGAAAGAAAAAGAGGGAATTTACTGGCGGTTTTACGAATATAGTATGGTAGTTTTTTTTTATATCGAATGAATGAAGTTTAGTATGAGAGAGTTTAAGCCTTTTCTTTGCATGAAGGTTTTACGCAAAGATAGTCGACTTATATATGTAAATAAATCAATAGTGGAATTTTGTTCCTTCTCTAATAGAAAATAAAAAGTTGAAAAATTTCAACAAACCTCCGCCAGATATATAACATAAATAGGGAAATCTCCATACATTCCCTAACCCAACGCTGTACCCGACGCAGGTAAGTAGAAATTCGGCCGGTTTATCCCATTGAATACGGGCCATGTCTTCCTCGCTACCATTTTTCTTGGCGACAGAGCCCGGTAAAATCCTATAATTAATCCCATCAGCTTCCTCTTTCAAGCCAACATTTTCGGGTTGTGATCCAAGTTTTTCCTTATTGTCTAACATAACAAAATAACGAACGTTGAATCAAATCTTTTTTACCATTCATTCGCCGCCAAGTCACAATAGAAAAGTCTAAATAAAAGAAAATTTACTATATTTCTGTTTAAAAAAGCATTTATTATAAAGAAAATCTACTACGTGTAAAGTCTTATGACGTATCCGGTTAACAGCAACGACCACGCTGTATATTCCTCTGTTAAACTAGCTAAAGAGATCGATAAACTCTTTTCAGCTTTCCCGCCATCTAGTGTGCAGTAGAAATGTAGAAAATATCAAATGCTGAGTTCGTAGTGTAGCTAGTGAAAAAGAGGAGAATAAAACAATGAACACACATACGAGTGCAGTGTTGATGAGGTCAAACTATACACAAAAAATTGAGTTTGGGTCAATATTTTTTTCGTATAGAGGCCAAACACAACTCGAAAATATTTGTACTCGAAATTTGACTAAAGTCAATATACGAGACAATTCAAAACTTTTCAATTTCTTTTTCAGGGATTTTCTAGCAAAATATCTTGTCTCCACTTTTCATTCTAACGACAAGATAGTAGCGACTGTAGGTAGCGAGAGAGAGAGAGAGAGCAGTTAGGAGAGCGGGCAGGCAGGGGGGAGGAGGGAAGGGGAGGAAGGAAGGAAGGAAGGTGAAACACAGACGCTGACAAAAGAAACTCCACTGCCATATAAGGTAAAAGAGAGGAAACAATAAATCGGATATAAATAAACGATATATTGTAATCATCCTTTTACGTCTTTCTATAGAAATAAATATTTATTTATTGCCATTTTTTAAGAATAAAATAGCCAAGCCAGACGATTCTTTGACGCGATTGCAATTTATTGGTAACAAGAGACTTTGTAAGCCTAATATCAAAAGATATTATGATATATTACGTATCAATAGTTCAATCCGCTTGAACGTGTGGCCAGCGGAAAAAAGGGCGAGTTTTACATATCTTTTACACACTGTCACCGAACGGAAGTTCAATATTATTATACAATACGACATTGATTGTTACTGAAGAAAAGGGTTAGGGCCAATTGTAGTTCCGTGATAGACGGTGGGGGTTGTTTATCTTGAAAGTGCTGAACTGTACTCGAACAAATAAAAGGCCGTGTTACAGCTGATTTCAGCAGTTAGCTATTCAAGTTGGAGAAATACGCTTGTCGATATGATTTGCTTTAAACTTTTCCTATCAATTACTTTTCGGATTTTTCTTCTCTGCTGTTTGTTTATCTTCCCGTCCCCTTCTTCGATTGCCAATGCCAAATCTATCGGCACGGATGACATTCTCTTTGCCGAGAAATATCTTCAAACGTACGAAGGCTACATTAAACCCAGACACGCCGACGGCAGTTCTCGAATAGACCCAACCACCACCGAGGAATTTCAGAATTCAATTCGATACCTACAAAAACTGGCTGGACTAGAGGAGACTGGCGAATTGAACGACGAAACAATCAAGAAGATGAAACAGCCTCGATGCGGTAATCCCGACAGAACACCGTCGTCATCCTTAACTGTCGACTCGAGACGAAAGCGTTACGCTACTCACTTTTTTTCGTGGGAAAAGACGCATTTAACTTATACAATTACAGCATATACCAACGATGTTTCAATAGAGGAAACAGAAAGAGTATTCATAACAGCTTTGAATATATGGTCTGAACATTCATCGCTGACCTTTGAAAGAGTCTCATTCAACGCCGACCTCCGTATTAAATTCGCTACTGGTAAACATGGCGATACATTTCCATTCGATACAAAAGGTTCTATTCTCGCTCACGCATTCTATCCCGCTTCCGATTTGGAAGGAGAAATTCATTTTAATGACGCTGTAAAATTTACACTTACTAAAGGATCAAATCTTTTACAAGTTGCTGTTCACGAAATTGGCCACGCCCTTGGCTTGCATCATTCAACAATACCGGAAGCGGTAATGACACCCTTCTTCGAATATAGGCCAACTTTCGCTTTACATCAGGACGACAAGGACGGTATTCAAGATCTGTACGGTCCAAGACCAGCAATAACAACATCGACGACAGAGTCGAAGCCAACAACATCTGAAAGAGTAACAACCGAGGTTAAAGAGACATCGTCTACAACTGCGGCTGCAACAACAAGAACAACAACGGCAGCATCAGCATCAGCAACAACAACAACAACAGCAACGACAACAGCAACTGTACCATCGACAAGGTCCACCGCTGAAATTTCAACAGTAGGAAGCAGTGTAGGGGCGATAACTACACAAACAGCAGTTGACGAGGCTTGTAAGATGAAGAAATTTGACGCAATTATGGGAACATACGATAATCATTTGTACGTGTTTGCCAATGATCTTGTCTATAAATTGGACGAAACGCCTATAACGGGTAGTCATCTTGTGGAAGGCTACCCAAAGTTGATAAGTGAAGAATTCTACTCGGCACCCAGCAACGTGAACGCCGCTCTCTATCTCGGCGATCGTTCTTATATCATCAAAGGTGACACTTTCTGGGTTTACGACAAGCATAGAAATTTATTAGCTCCTAGTCCGGGAAAGATTAACGAGGATGGATTTTATGGCGTTCCTAACGATATTGATTCGGCTTTCGTCTACTCTGGCAATTACATGGTATATTTTACGAAAGGCAACGAATACTATCGATACGATTTCTACGGAGTAGACGATTCGCTTTTCCCCCAATCTCTTAACAATTTCTTAGGAGCACCCTATTCTCTTGACGGTGCCGCCCTCTTCTCCAATGGCTATACGTACTTTTTCAATTCTCAAGATTATTATAGAATAGACGATTTCAATGCTGCAGTCTTTGATGATTATCCAAAAAATTTCCTCCAAGAGTATTTCGGCTGCCCGAAGGTTGGCGACAATAGTAGGAAGCCGAATATCGGGAACGGAGGCAAGAGAACTGGCGAATTGGCAGAGCCAAAAGTATTCGATCCCGAAAAGTTGAAGAGAAATAGAGAGAGTACGCGATTGGTGTACGAGAGAAAGTCTCCATTCCAATCATCGTCAATAAATGTACACTCTAATCCGCTGTTGGTGACCGTAGCACTGCTATTAAGTCAAATGGCCGTTCAGAAGTTAATCTTCAATTGACAATTTAATTAATTGATTACAAATTGTCTCTATTTCTGTTTTTTATTTTGATTTTGTCTGATTTGATTAATTTTTATGATTTTTTTTAATTGTTTTATTCGTTTTTATACTAAATGATTTTGGATGCTTTCCCGGTGCACACAATAAGCAAACAAACTCGACAGAGAGAGAGATAGATCAAATGCTAAGAAAAGAACAAAAAATAAAGAAAGGAATCTGTGATTTATTAAGAAAAAGTTGATTTTATTGAATAAATTTTTTCTAAAACATTAATTTCTTTTGTAATAAAATTAATTTAATAAAAAGATAATAAAATTTTTTTTTTTAAAAAAAAATTTATTCACTTTTTTTTTTTTTTTTTTTTTAAACCATTAGGCAGATAATAGGTTTTTTCATAATTTCATTAGCTATACGCTTTATTCAACTTTCATTCAAGTATTCTCTCTAGAATTCAGACAAAAGAAACTTCTGTTTCTAAACTAAATAAATCGTAAAATATGGCGAGTAGTGCCATCTGTTGAATGAAAGTTATAAATGGAATATTAAGAGAGAAAAGCTGCTGACGCTGCTTATTGTAATAATAGATGGAGACGGAAAAGAACTGGGTGGCAGCAGATGTCAATGAAGAAACGACAATAAATGTGCGATCAGAGCCGGGATAAAAATGCTTATAAAACATTATCGTTAGAGAAAATGCCTACACCAACAAAAAAGGCCCAAGAGTAAGTGTTCGTCTCTCTCCTTATCTCGTATCACTTCCTGCGGGCTGCTCTATCTACGGCCAACTATCGGCCTAAGCAGTCTTAGAAAGAAAGAGCGGTTTCTAAGCCACATAAAATACATTTGTTTATGTTTAATCCCTACTTCACTCTTTTCCACCTACCCGTCGAACTCTTAGAGGTTTAGTTCTATCAAAATATAGTCTCATCGCCGCCTGATCGAGTTGCCTTTAAGGTTTAGTGAGACATAGGGAGGGGATGCACTCTTTTACTAATGATTTTCTGATTTCCCTCACCTGCTTCTTTCGCTTCTAAACTCGCCGCGATTTTGATTAATTATGCACTCGCAACTTTTTTGGATAGAGCCTTATCGTCAAATTCCTTTGATGATGGAAAACTGAAGACGCTTAAAAGTTGCGTTACTTAATGAAAAATGAATATTAAAACGTCAAAATCATTGATAAAAACATGTGAACAAAGGTAATGATAGACCTAGACAAAAGTAATACAATAAATTAGACAAGAGACGTGTCCAATAATGTCCAGCAAAAGGGAAATAAATGTTTTGTTTTTATCCAAAAAGTTGTGTCGACAATCGAAAGAATGTTTCAAAGAAATCAGGAAAAGTATCAAAGAATCCTATGATTTCTCTCTCTCTCTCTCTCTTTCTTAAAAATATCCAAAAAGCTTGCTATTGTGCGCGCCCTATCTCCGCCCAACACCCCATCAAAAGAGGCCATATTAGAGACTGCTGATTCGTTGAAATTTCAGACAAGTTCTTCCAATCGTTGATAGCACTCTCCGACTGTATTTACAATCGTCCTCCAGCGGCCGGATATATTAGACAAATATCTAAAAATTGCTCACTTCTTTATCTACATTTCAATAGGCTTTTATCGACAATTTGATTTATCTTTTATACCGAAATATAGACTTACCGTCCAATGTTATACTGAGACTGATAAAAACAATTTCAGTGTCGCTGACTGCTCTGGTCAAAAAATTAAAGACATTCGACAGAAACCAATATATGCTGACGCCCACGACGATAAGGAACGTCGATAAGAGGCGAACGTACGTGGAAAGGCCTATAAATGAGTTTATGGCGTGGGAGAAGGCTACTAGGAGCAAAATACCGAATAGAGTAAAATAAAAGAACGGTTAAGGAGGTAAACGATTTTTCAAATCTCTTGCCGATCGTCTTTTATCTTCTTTTAACAACTTTGTTCACTCGTCTCTGCTTATCTATTTTGTCCACTCCTTCCCCGATTGATCGTACCGGCCTTGTCCAGTACGTTGTCCATTAAGAGTTCATTAGAAACGCATAAGATTACGTAAATACGTGTAAAGAACTAGCTTAGGGTGAAAATATGCTTTTCTGCAATGAATGTCGAAGACGCAGCAAGGAAACGTTCGTGTCTTAGTGATATAGAGAGTCCATCCGCTTTTCTGAATATCGACCAAGAACATGACAATGAGAGAATAAGTGTGTGCTAGTTTGTTAGCTATTTCGAAAGAGTTTCCTTTACCAGGGGGCCATCTGGTGGTAATGACGGACAGAAATGAAAAATTGTATTAAATAACAAATAGTAGTTCACAGCATAGTTGGACGAAAGAAAGAGAGGGGCGAATAAACGAATACACTAGTTAGGGGTTAAAGATATGAGCCTACACACTAATTATTGAGTTTGGATCAGCATTTCTTTTCACCTAAACCTATTCCAAAAGCAGCCAAGAAATGAACGCAACGATACAATGAGAATGATTCGCAAAGTTGATTAGCGGACAATTTCCTAGGTGTCGCTCTATACATTGAAAATTGAAAATTTTCTGCTTTTATCTTTCAAATGACGGAATTTCTTAGAAGCGAATAAAATTTAATTGGTGTTTTTAATGTTCCATTGTATTCTGACTAATAGAAGCTTTACTAGAGTCAACTATGGGTAAAGTTGATTCTGCAACCGCACTCTTTTGCTCTTAAAAATACTTGAACATAGGCCAAAAAATTGTTGAACTCGAAATATAATCAAAGTAAACATTCAAGACAATTTCAAATTTGTTATATATATATATAGTATGAACAGCAAATATTGTATAAACTATGTATCGTTCATTTTTGCCACTTGTCTTCCCTTCTTTCAGTGATGATCTTTTCTTTGAAAGATGTAACATTGTTGTAATAGTAATTAGTAAGGGGCAAAGAAGGACTGGAAGTTGTAAGAAAGAGGTAGACGGAGGTGTGACAGATACAAAGGCATAGATATAGACGCAGCGGATACGGCTATCTAAAGTAGAATAGAAAATGGTACAGTGGATGATAGTGTAAATAAAGAAGGAAAGAGAAAAGGAAAGAGTGAAGATAGATAGTTTAAAGGCCAATAAGAATGATAGTATTCATTGGGAATGATCTTTTATTCTGCAAGATCATCATATAGTCATATATATTAGTAATATATATATACTATATATATATATATATATATATATATATATATATATTTGTATGTGGACATTTGAAAAAAAAACATATGTTTACTCGAAGTCAGCCTGCCTGAGTTTTGTCATAGAAAATGCTTTGTATGCAAGTTTTATTAGAAATAAAAGACAATTGGACAATATTTTACAGCTTTTATGACCTATGACCTATGAAGGGTTCAATTTCGTTGCGAATATCCCTTATTCCGTTACGCCATTCTATATAAATAAATAGGGTTTAGGGCCAATTCTAGTTGCGTGAACAGGTAGGTGGTGAGATTTCAAAACGATTTACTTGAAATTTATAAAATTTTCTTCCGCATCCGTCGTTCGTCCAGTTGTCTTCTTTAAGTATAAGCGTGAAAACTGTCGGCCCAGAGGACGGATCATCGAGGTTAAAGACACAATTGTTGGAGAGTTAGCATCAGTTAAGGGTTACGAATACGATTAGCTCAATTTGTAAATGGAAAGTTGTTTGTAAATATTAAATAAACAATCTAGTAGAAGAATATTTCATTTTCTTGAAAAGTATAATATAGATACAACAAGGAAATGTATTGTCGATTTTGATAGGGAATTTTTGGCGTCTTCAACACGAGTCAAGAGTTTAATGTTTACTACAAAAGCCGACTTGGTCATCCTTTGCAGCCTCTACAGAAGACGTGGTGTATTTTACGGGAGGAAAGAAATATTACTGATACGAATCTAATCGAGTAGATTTTGATTTATATCAAAGATTTATTGGAAGTTCCTATAGGTATTGTAGACAATTTAGAGACCGCCTTGATCGTCCCCGATGGCCATACGGACTTTTTTGAATCTAAAGACTATTATAGAACAGTCAAGTGTGTGGCTTTCCAGCCGGTTTCCCAAAAGAATTCCTTCAACTGTTCAATGGTAGTATAAAAATGAAAGAAAACGGCGTGTAAAGACTATTTACTAGTTCATTTTTCTATGTAGAAAACAATTTCACGCCATTTATTTCACATAGAAATAAACTTGTTATAAACATTAACAGCTTCCGTTACGAATTGTTTCCTATCAAATAGCGATTATAGATTAGGCAAGATTGTGGTGCCATCTGCTGAAGGGAAAGTTGGTGTTCAATTGCGATAAATAGAGTAGTAGAAGAGCTTAGTTACTGATGTAGATTATTATAGTAGTATATAAAAAAATGAAAAACATTAAGGGAGCGGCAGGTGTCGCTTTTCTAAAATTAGGAAGCGACGATAAAGGTGGGATCAAAGCGAGGATGAAAACGTGTATAAAACATTATCATCGGTTTCTACTATGAAATTCGGACACGTTAATTGGAGAAATGCGTGCAACAACAAATAAAGCCCAAGGCGAACGTTCGCCTCTCGCCTTATCTCATATCGCTTCCTGCGGGCTGCGTTATCTACGGCCAATTATCGGCCTAAGTAGTCTTATAAAGAAAAAGAGGCTTTTAAGCTTCATAAAGCGGCTGTCACTTTTCAAATTTGTTTATGTTTATTACCGCTTTATCCCCTCCTCCACCCTTTTCCATCCGCCAACCGAACTCTTAGAGGTAACTCTTAGAACATAAACAAAGTACCACCCGTAATCGACTTATTAACTTGCTTTTAAGGGTTAATCCGACTTGGAAAAGGAGTTTTCTTTCCCATCCTACTCCATTAACCAAACCCACCTCTTTATATTATTACTTTAAGTTTTCAAGTTACTGGTTAAAACTACTATTATTATTAAATACTAATACTACTGCTATTACTCCCATCTCTTTTCTCTCTCTCTCTCTCTCTCTCTCTATACTTTATATATATCTTC